CCAAAGGACCTATGGAATATGGAAGTAAACATTTCAAAAGCACGTGCAACCTGGAGTTGTTCCCCCACCCCCTGAACCGTGTATCCAATATGGACAAAGTAAATCACTTCATGTTAACTTGCTGTTGAAAGAATCCCTTCTGCAGAGAGGGGTCTAGCAGCACATGTACTCACGCAATATAGAAGTGGCCAAGGTCAGTCAGTCAGTCATTTACTGTTCACCAAAGGTGCTGTCATCAGCTGGATGTAGACTAGGGCTGAGATACAGTGCTTGCCGTGAGGGGTAGGAAAAGAGAGAGCAGACAAGGAAAACTACAAAAGTGTAGTTGTTTCAGACACGCTGCAATTAAAGGAATTTAAGAAAAAGCATTGTAACAGGGTTTACTCACCACCCTGCACTGCCTCATGGCCAGGCATGGCATCACGGTATCCTTGTGGGGTAGCAGCCCTTGTCAACAGTCACTCTGGGGCTGTGGTGGTTTCTTTTAGATAACTCACCCCTCCAGCCAGGGCACAGTCTTTAGTGTGGATGGCTGACCCTGGAAGGAACAGACTAAAGTTCTAAACTCTCTTCATAGAAATCAAAAGCTTCCAGCCTCTCCACAGCTCTTCTTCAGCAAGGTCACATTCAGACTGCAGCCCCCTTACTGGGCTCAGCTACCCTTGTACACCACTTGCTGAGGGCTGGTAGGGGAATCCAGTCCCAACCTCAGTCTCAATTCTGGGTTACAGCCCAGGGCCCTGGACTGCACAACCAAGTCAAATCCTCTACCCATAGTGCAGTTTTCCCTGCACCATTTCCTTCCTTACCTCTTTCCTTCCCTTCTAGGTCTCCCAATCTGTTCCCTGAGTACTTACTCAAGGCCCTGCAGGCACCTTTTGACTCCCTGCATTCTCTTTTCTCCAGCCCTTCCTCAGCTGGGCCCACTCAGTAGTTAAACCTGAAATCACCTAATTTCTCTCAGGTGGGGCCCATTCTGTAATCAGGGCTGGCTTCCTCGGGGACTCTTTATTATTATCTCAGAGCTCTGGATGATCTCTGAGAGTTGGTCTCTCTCTCTCTCTCTCTCTATATATATATATGAATTTTATTGTCAGGCTTTGGCTCTGATCCTCTTACACCAATCACTGTAACTGACTTCTACTCAGGGTTATCTGTTTTCTTTTCATGATATTGGGCCAGCCAATGGTGCCATGCTGCATTCCATGACCTGAGAATCTGGCTCATTGTTTTCATGTTGGGCCAGATTCTGTCCCCCTTACGTTGACTAGTACAATACCCCACAAGCAAGCCCCATTGAAATCAGTGTTCGTAGAGTGAGGTATTACTCAGTGTGAGTAGGGGTGACAGAATCTTGCCTATTATGTCTAACTAGTCTTTCTACATGTAGCAATGTAAATTAAAGGCTGTTTTCTAAAGATTACACTTTTAAAAGTAGATTTTCTCCCTGCCTAATGCAGCTGCCATCTTGTCCTTAAGATGCAGCATGTTACAGTCACTGTGTTTTCTCTGTCATGGAAAATTTTTCTTTGTTCAGTCTTTGGGCCCAAATCTGAGAAGTGCTCAGCACCCACTAGTTTAGTGGGAGTTCAGGGTGATCAGGACCTTGCAGGAAGTGGTTAGTGTCTCTTAGGGGTAAGCCCTTTCTTTGATGTTTTCCCTTGACCTGAAATGAAAACAAATCTAGACCTAAGAGTATGTTTTACTCTGTGAGTATGAGCATGAAAAACATCATTCCTGTGACATGGAATCACCTTTGCCATAGCTTGGAGGTTCTTCACCTTGTGTAAGATTTTGTGTTTAGGTAACAACTATAGCACCTCTCTCTTGTCTATTTATGTCCTTCTGCTTGTACGTCAGTCTGTGTTGTGATCCTGTGTGTCATATCAGCGCACTTACATTTTCTCATACATTATACAAAGAAATATCTGACAGATGTTCAAGGAGCAGATTTATACATGGGGAGAATTGATGCATTCTGACTTGCATATTCAGTATGTTTCTGAAAGTCATAAAATTTCAACATAGAAGATAGTTTAATATTTTATTATTTTGCAAATGTCAGTTGAATACATGCTGCAATTATCTGTGCATTTGACCATCCCCAGCATGAACACATAGTCAAGTAATTGAAAACAATCACCCTGCTAGATATGAAATTGTTCTTTTGTGAAAGGAGTTGTGCTGAAGGGTTGCCACGTTGTCAGAAGTTCAGATGAAGATAGGCCAAGATGAGCTTGTCTCTTAGCCCCTCAAGGGAAATTAGGATTACAGGGGTTTAGTTGATGGCCCTTACTGGTTATCTAGCACAGTTTTGGTCTAACAGGGAGATGAAGCTGTCTATAAAAGGAAAAGTACAGGCAAGCTTGACACAGAGCAAGAGAGAGGAAAAGAAGGAGAAATGATGTGGGAAATATGCCATGAATTTTGTTGTGGTGCCATAATTGTTAGATGAACAGTAGAAGTAAGGGAAATATAGAAGATAATTATTTAGACCTAGTTGGAATGTCTGTTATTTTCTAAAAGGTATTTATGGACTGGACAACCCAACAGCATTTGGCATTTTATAAAACCCCTAGCTTCGTGAAACAGTTTTTATGATGGTGGCAGTACAAGAAACATAAGAGTGTCTGGTAGAATGGAGAAAACATCCTCCCCAAAACAAAAATGGTGGAACAATAAACTGGGTGCCTTGTATAAATATACAGGGATGAACATGAAGAAAAAAGACACTAAAGATTGTGAAAAGAAACCACCACAGGAAAAATATGTATCTCGCTTTCTGTGTTTTTTGACAGGTGGGATATGAATTTGCTCCATGGTTAAGAATCGAAAACAGATCCAAAAATCGGTAGGTGTGCTTCTGCCAAGTCCAGTTATAAAGTTATATAGCCAAAATCCCATGAGCAGGTCTAAAAATGGGATTTTTTTTTCCCCATGAAAAGAGTCGGTGCCGGCCTTGGCCTTGCTGACTTTTTTGGATTCCTATAGATGCCAACAGACTTGGCAACAACAGTCTATTTGGATGATCTACATCTGCTTTTTCTATCCTATGCTTTTCCCAGGTTAATCGTTACTGATGGGGAGTTTACATAAAGCCTCTGAAGATAGTATGTAAAAGTGAAGAGTTAAAATGGCCTGCTTGAAGAAAGGTTACATCACGTTGCTTCTATGCTTTGGCTGGGCCAATATTTTTCTTGCCCATTCTTTCAAAGTAAAGTGTTTACACTTTATATACTAACCTCTAGTGTTTTTATTAGAGCAATTTTCCCTCTCAGCAGGTCATCCAAATTTGAGAATTATAGAAAAACCATGATGCTACTTGTTTGTATTATAGTGTAATATATACCACCATTTTCAATGCTGTGTGGCACGTTATCGAATGCAATGAAGTACGGGATCATATCTGGGTTAGCCTCACTCCATATCGGTTTTGCAATTTTGACATCAAACTGATTTACCTTGGTGCTTCAGAACAGCTAGTATGCGCTCTGATTGAGCTTGGCTTTAGAATTTGGCAAGGAAAAGAGGTCAGACAAAGGATAAAATAAGATGGCATGGATGTGGAATTGACAATTTTGCCATTAGTCAAACAAGCATCATTTTGTTCATTGTGCAGAAGATGACAATTATGTAACAGCAACTTGGAATGCACCAGCTGGTGCATAGCTTTGCCCCCTTGTTGGTGAACCACATTTCCTTGGGCAATGTAGTAGTGTGGGGTACCTGGACTGCACCTTTTGACATTATCTTGAGCACTAGATAGATACCCTGTACTTGGGGAAAGGATCACTACACGTTATTCTGGCCCTGTATCTGCCTAGTCCTGAGAACTCCCAAGTTATTGCTTTTAGTTAGGTGCAGCGCTTGGTTTCCATTGCTATTAGTCATTGAACTACCCTAATTATCTAAGAATCCAGGATTGTTCAGTCTAATCCGATGTGTTCAAAACATTTGGTATTAAGTTGTTAATAAAGATTAAGAACAAATCAATACTCGGGCTTTTTTTTCCTTAAGCTTGAGGACTTGCTATACATTGTACATCTTAAATTCATCTACTGCTGCTTATCTACCACATATCACCACTGCTTATGACATTAGAAACAACTTGCTATGGAAGTTATGAGGTTACAGAAAAGGGAATGCAAATATCCCTAGCAAGAAAATGAGGCAAGAAACAGAGAACACATGGGGCCAACTCTCATCAAAGCTCAAAAATCTGGCTTTGGGTGGACTATTTTGCCCCTTAGCCCGCTGGGTTGGCATGGAATAGCTGCACCAGTGCTCTAGTGGTAGAGACAAATGGGGTTCCTATACACCTCATACATTGGTTGTCACTTTCTGCAGCACAGACCTTTCTAGTGGCTGCATCTGCAGTCCTCCATTCTGTTGCAAAGAAAGGCAAGACAGAGTCTAAGGGGCATAGAGACTTCCCAGCACACACCCTGCTCTCAGCTATTGTGCTTGTATTCTGGTTTGGTATAGAAACAGAGGATAGGACAGCATGTGTGACTTAATAGAGTGGTTGATTAGTTTTTAAAATGTTTGGGAGGTTTTCTACACTAGGAGGTGCCAGCTTTCATTCTTTTCCACAGCAAAACTGAGGAAAATTGAAGGACATGTCATCTGATCTTATGAGGTCTTGCCCAAGAAAAGCAAGTATGTCTTAGACCACTTCACCTTTTTACATTGTAAAGACAGTCTCCCTTTGTACAGCTTATAGCCGGTCTAGAGTATCTTCTATCCTGAGATGCAGGACTGAAGGAGATAGGCCTGGGAAATACTTCAGTAACCGCAACACATTTTCAGTGTGTATATTTTCCTCACAGAATATGCTTGAACTGTTTTAAACGTTTTGCTCAATTTTACAAACGGTGGTTACATCTTTACAAAAGGAAATATGATCTTACATATAATGTACATGTACAATGTAGCATGTGCAATATAAAGTAAAGCTTCCTGGCCAATGCAATGTTATAACAAACATATACATGTGGTACTCAGTTATGGCTCAAAGAGTGGGAGGGGGAACTGCACTGCCTGAGTGGTGGAGGTATAGAACGTCACACCAGGAAAATGTTACATTTCTTCTGGGAGGCTTAGATCCTCAATAGCTGAGCACATCTTTAGGAAACTTGGGGCCAGAGGCGGCACTGGCCCTGGACTTGCGGCCAAGCAAGTCAGTATGTACAGCTTTCCTCTGGGTGTCTTCTTAGGGAAAGGACCCAGAATATCCACAATTACATGTTGAAACAGAACCTCAATTATGGGGAGTGGCTGGAGAGGGGCTTTGACCTGGTCTATGGCACCTGGGAGCCATAGAAACACTTCCTCAAAGTCTAATTTCTTCATTACCCCTATAGTGCAGAGGAGAACCTCCTGACAACCATTCCATCACATTGTGTTTAAGCTGTGCTACGTGGAAGAATCTTTTAATCTACTTAAGAGCCATTTGATGTTATCCATCATCTATGAATTTAGGTCTTCCTGTGGGAAAGCCAACCACAGGTAGATAAAAAAGGAGGAAAACACCACTAA